GAACTCCTGCCCCTGCTTGCCTTCGACTTCATCGCGGTTTTGCAATTCTTGGGGTTGGTGGTTTTCAGGGTCTCAAATAAAATATTTTTGGGGAACGCAGAGTCTCAAATAATTTATTGTTGCGGCAACCAGAGTCTCATTTCTTGTTTAAAAAGATTTCTTAATATAAAGCTCGACCGTATTTAGAGTGTAGAATTTGGGGTCTAACTGAGCTCGTACTGGGCAGAGTTTACGCCTGACGTCCTCGAGCTCTCCTCTTGACACCCGATGCTTGTAAAAGCTGTGGAGCCCGTCTAGACAGACGACAATGACACATGCACTCCGTGTCTCTCTCTCTCTCTCTCTGTTTGTTTGTCTCTCTCTCTCTCTGTGTCTCTTTCATGTCTCCGTCCCTCCCTCTCTGACCATCACCGAAACCGGACACAAAGCTATTATGTAAGCGTCTGTATACACCTGAAGCTTATTTACTTTCGGCTATTCACACATGCATGCATACGAAAAGCAGGTACGTAGACTGTCTCAATCCACCACACACACACCCTAAATCTAAGGCTCCAAACCCTAAATTGGCCTTAAACCCTGAGCCCAAACCCATAAGTATCCAGCACACATCGAGACCCTAAACCCTAAATCTTAAACCCAAGCCCTAAACCTTAAACCCTCAACCCCTAAGCCCTAAACCTTACGCCCTAAACCCTAACGCCTAAATCCTAAACCCTTAAACCCTAAACTTTCGGCCCTAAACCCCCAAGCCCCAAGCCCTGACCTTCGAAAGGATGGCGTCAGGAGCTCCAGTGGCCGTAGTAACCAGATTTTCTTGAAGACTTATAAGTCTCATAATCCCAATAAGGGTCCCTTTTCGGTATAACCCTAAACCCTAAACCCTAAACCCTAAACCCTAAACCCTAAACCCACCTACTTACTAAGTCCCCCCGACCCTCCAAGCAGGAGCTCCAGTGGCCTTTGCAGTGGACCCTGGGCTTCTCATCCACGTCCTCGCTGTTCGGCTATGCCGGGCAGGCGGAGCTGAGGTTTAGGGTTTAAGGTTTAGGGTTTAGGGTGTTTTGTTCAGGGTTTACGGTTTTTTGTTCAGGGTTTGGGTTTTTTTGGGTTAAGCTTGAGGTTTTAAGATCAGGGGGCGTTTAAGTCTAGGGTTTGGGTTTAGGGCTTTCGAGATCAGGCTTAGAGTTGAGGGCTTTAGGATTAGGGTTTAGAGTTCCGAAGGGTTTTTAAGTTGAGGGCTCAGAGCTTTGGGCTTTAAGTTCAGGGTTCAGGGTTTAGGGCTTTGAAGTTCAGGGTTTAGGGTTTTAAGATCAGGGTTTTGAGTGTAGGGTTTTTAAGTTCGGGGCTTTGGGTTTATGGCTTGAAGTTGTTCAGGGTGTAGGGCTTTATAGATTTATCTTTAGGATTTAGGGCTTTACAAGATTTCGGGTTCAGGGTCTCTAAGTTCAGGGTTTTAGGGTTTAGGGCTTTAAGTTCGGGCTTCCTGGTTGAGCTGAAAACTCAGGGTTCAGGGTTCAGGGTTCAGGGCTTATACATGTAGGGCTCACTCAGGGCTTGTACTTTTGGGGTTCAGGGTTTAGGGTTTGGGATACGATTCCCCATAGCCTCCATTGTAGTGACCCAGTTGGATTAAAACCGCAGTCAACGACTAGGAGCCTACCTATAGTCTCCACTACAATGGAGACTATAGGTATACTGAAAAAATAAGGTGCCACCCGAAAAGGGACTGCAATGGGTTCTTGGGCTGTAGAATCTCGGATTTCGGTGTGCAGATATTCGAGCTTTGGGAGGTTTCAGGAAAGTTACAAGAGGGCCCTAAACCCTGAACCCTAAACCTTAAACCCCGAACCCTAAACCCTAAACCGGGTTCTGCAAGGCTTCGTGTGGGTGCCGGAGCTCTTAATACTAGTCCCCTTCGGGGCGACAAGCTCCAGAGCCGTTGTTTGCGACGGTATCTACTTGGAGGCTCGGGGAACTTAGTAAGTAGGTACCTATAGTCGCCATTGTAGTACCTTTTTGGGTATACCTTATAAAATCCTTAATATATAATTGGTTAAACCCCCCAAAAAAGAACTACAATGGAGACCATGGGAAAAAGTGGACTTACAAGTAAAAGGGATCCTGATTGTGGTTATGATTCGTCTATAGAATTTAAATAACTAGTTACTAAGTCCCCAGACCCTCCAAGTAACTACCCAAGCAGGAACTGATGTTTCAGCTTAGGGGTTTTAGGGTTCAGGGCTTTGGGGTTTAGGGTTTGGGGGCTTAGGGGTTTAGGGGTTTAGGGGTTTAGGGTTTAGGGTTTTAGGGTTTAGGGGTCTTGGGTTATTTAGGGTTTAGGGTTTAGGGCTGGGGGGCTTAAGGCGTTCAGGGTTCAGGGAGGTTAGGGTTGACGATTTAGAAGTCAGGGTCTCAGAGCCGACAGCAAAAGGACTTCCTGTTCAAGCTTTAGGCCGGAATCCTGGGCCCTCCAAGCCAAGATGGCAGCGCTTAACTTCGGGGCTCTAACGACCCCTCCTTAAAGGTCCGGGTGCCCAACTAGTACATACTTTGGTCCGGACGATTTTGCAACGGCGATAATTCGCTGACAAGGGTACATATACGCGGAAATAAAGCACCTGCGCTGCGTCCCATGATCCTTGCAGTAGAGAGTGTTTGTGAAGCTCTACGGCTCTGGAGAGTGCTCGCCAGGTAAATTACTGCGCGGCCAATGCGCTGCTAGACCAGCTTGCTGCATTCAGCAGCGAGACGGCGCGTCCTGAGGCTGTCGAGACTAATTATCGGATTGATTTGTTTTCACACGTGTTCAGGGTTATTTTATGGCTTGCTGCTATTGCTGCTCACCTTCTTATAGTTATGCAGCTATGCAGTTCATGTATCATCATACCCTGCATCGCATACTAACCAATTACTACTAGTACCAGCAGGGTTGTTCCTGATTATAATTCTTGTACGGTTGTACTGCAGCTGCCGCTGCCACGACTACTGCTTCTGTTTTTCATTTCGAGGTGCGAACAAGCAGTGTCAAAACCACCATATAGGCACTTTTTGGTAGCCAGTGTAATGCACCCCCGAATTCTGTTCCAAATTGTTAAGGCCCCTATACTACTGCAAGCCACAGGGCCCATCACGCATAGTCACGTCCCAGACCTCCGAAGTCCAATGCCCGCGTACCACCGGCTTTGTAAGCAATCCTAAGCTCCCGAAGCAAGAAGTCCCCATAGCTGAAGCCTGAGGGTACAAAGTACCTCAAAGTTCGTTAGTTGGGTTTGGGATGGTAGCAATGTAGGTTAGTGTTCTTTGCTTTCCTGTGTTGGGGTTGCATATGATTACTTGTCACGTACTTGGACCCTCTACCTCCAAGGGTCCATGCACCCAAACAGTACGCATTGCATACCACAGCGCCAAATGAGGTCGGGTATACATGTTTGACATCTCCGACAATCTCAGAATCTCTCCCAACTGTCTTATTGCATATTGCACTTCCGCCCAGTGCAGCAAGGACGACTTCATGCCAAACATTCTGTTTTTCGGGCCGCCGGGGTGCAGGTTAGGATTCAAACATCTTAGTCCTAGAAGGCCAAACCCAAACCCCACCCCCCCCCCCAAGCCCCAAGGCCCCAAATCCCTGAACACCCTAAAAGCCCTAAGCCCTATAAACCCTAAAAGCCTGAGCCCTAAACCCGAAGACTAATTAAACACTTCCAAACACCCAATAAACTCTAAACCCTAAACCCTAAACCCTAAACCCTATAAGCCCTATAAACTCTGCCCTAAACCCGCCGGGCCGTGATACCCAGAAGCTGGCCGGCCTAGAACCCCGCTTAGCACGTCTAAGCGATTCAGGCTTCGTGGGCTTTTGGGGTTTGGGGGTTTAGATCCTCTGGTTTAGGGTTTGGGGGCTTCAGTGAGCTTGCGTTTTCAGGATTGCCTTAGAACCCCGTCAATGACATCATACCTTAGCTGTTTTTCGTACTTCGTAAAGCCAATATCCGATGTGTGGATCTTTTGGCCGCAGGCATCAGCTGCAACGATTGATTCCCAAATCCTGAGCCCCAAAGCCCAAGAATCGCTCGCACGAGCAGGGGGATCGACCACCATGCCGCTTCATCACCGTGAATTGGGGTCCCTGGGGCATGCCAGCTGCATTCAGCTTGCTTTATGGCTGTACGGACTGTACTTATTGTTCTTATTATTATTGAAATTACTATAGTTATTGGTATTCGTATTATGCCTATTGGTATCATTACTGTTATGATGGTTACATTCATGTGCGTTATTAGCTTATCACTACCGGCTCACCACGCGTGGATCCTCTATGGTCTGTTAGGGTTTGGTTGCAGGTCATTGGCCGTTGGGGATCCGCGGAACCGCAAAAGGGTTCCGCGATGTTATTGGATTGCAAGGGTTCGCATTGGGCTCAGGGTTTAGGGTTAAGGGCTGGTGGCGAACCCAACAACCCTGGTAGATTACGTGGCGTGTAAACGTGCCTTTCTTGACAATCTGAAGTCCTCAGGAATCTCCCGTCCAAGTAACTACACCATAGGCTGAAGACGTCATTGTAAAGTACTGCTGCGGGTATTCATCGCCGTATTCAGAACCGTCAGGGATCCCTGTCAGGGTTCCTCGACATACCCAGAACATCAAAGATCAGAAT